GGGCGAGGGGCCCGCTTTGGTCCCGCTCCACGACACCAAGAAGAGGAAGAGGGGGCGAGCGCGAGAGTAGAAGAGCGAGCGAAGGAGGGAGAGAGAGAGAGCGCTCGCTCGCTCCCTCGCGCTTTCCTCCGGGCTAGAGCTTCGGCGCCAGGCAGACGCTAGGTAAGTTGCCCGCGCCTTCCGCTGCCCGAACCCGTCCGCGCCCTCGGGGAGCGGCTGAGGAGGACCAAGGAGGGAGCCTGCCTGCTGCTGCTGCGCGGGCGCTCCTGAGCCGAGGAAACAAAAGGCGGCCTCTCGCAGCCCTGGCCGCTCCCTGCCTGCCTGCCTGCCTGCCTGCCTGCCTTCCTCCTCCTTCTGGCTGCTTGGCCAGGCCCCGAGCCCGGCGTCCCGGTCGGGTAGAAACGGCGAGGGAGGAAGAGCTCGACTCCCTTCACCGCCCCCGCAGACACACACCTCGAAGGCAGGCTGCCCGCTGAGGCTTGGGGCGCTCCCGCTCTGAGCAGCCGGCCGGCGGCGGGGAGACAGAAAGAGAGGCGGGGGCGGGGGAAGAGAGCGAGCGAGAGAGAGGCGAGTCCTGGCCAAATCTTGGCGTTCGGTGGCTGAGGAGCGATTGCATCATGTAACAGTCCCGGTTCCGGCGTGGGAGGCTCTCCGCTGGATCCTCTCAGGGCCTGCGGTCCCCTCTTGACCTGAGTTGGCTGGCTGGGCACTTCGAAAGGATGGCTGCCGCACGGCTAGAGATGGGGGTCGGGGCGTTCAGGAGTGTCAAGTCAAGACGGAGCTTCTTACCCAAGACCAAGCAATCAGTGAAACTCTCAGGAACAGTTTTCAAACAATGAGGTCCAACAACAAAAAAAAATCGAATTGTATTTAGCAGAGGCGTGGGTTTTTCTGACCAGACACAGAAACACAGTTTAATCTGACACGGAACCTATTGCAGGTATCTATCTGTCTGCAGTAGGTCCTGTGTCAGAGAGAGCAGCTTAATAGGTCTGAGTGTCTGGCCATATTCCCTCCCATAAATAAATAAAAAGTTGATCGCTTGCCTTTTTCACTCGCCCGTGTTCAGTACAAATACTTGTAAGAGTTTAGCAAAAGCTAGTTCTGAATGAGCCCTGCTGGAAGACAGAGAATGGGGCTTAGTCATGTCTGACTAAACTCATGTGAACTCAAGTGGGAAATGCAGCCCATTCCATAGTTCCAAAATACTAAAGAAATGGATTGGTGTGCATAATTTTTTTCCATAACTGGCCTTAATAAGTTCCTGTTACTCAGACTTATTAGCTGTCTTTTGCCTGTTGTTAGCCTGTGATGAGTAAGAATTGCTTCCAGGTGACTAGACACGGACTATTTAGCCAAGGTACCCAGTTCTTTAAAAGTTTCTGACACTCCCATGTGTTATAATTTGCTAAAAGTTGTGTATTAGTAGGTAGTTGATAAAAATATTAATGGACTTGCGTGTAAGGGTGATACTAGGATATACATTTCCCCTAAAACCAGATAGAAATCTGACAACAGAAATAAAAGACTATGGTATCTTACAGTGTGGCAGATGGGAGGCAATACATTTTGCCAGGATTAATTACACTGTGGCTGGAGGACAGGTGTAAAAAATAAATCATCATCATCTTAGAACTGCAGAGCCAGAAGGGACCCTCTGTGGATCATTGAGTCCAGCCCCTGTCAAGGAATCCAACTCCCCAAATCTTTGGCTCCGCAAATGCTCAACTTCCTTGTGCCTCCAGATAACAACAGATGGTGGTTTCTCTTCTTTTTGGAAATAATTTTAATTTCTGTTTTCATTTATAACCATATGAAAATCTAAAGAAGAATGAAGTAACATGGTTAAGACTGGATAATATTTTAATTTGCATGTTTTATTTGAGTTTTCATAGGTTAAAAAACTACTCCATCAGACGCTGAGATGGACAGACACAAAGTGAGATAATCAGTTATAGACAGGTGTCTGTGTGCCTTCAAGTCAGTAATGATTTATATAGCGACCCTTCCCAGAGTATTTTTAGGTAGGTAATACACAGAAGTAGTTTACCATTCCCTTCCTCTGGGGGCACCCTGGCACTGTACAGCTTGCCCAAGGCCACAAAAACTGGCTCTAGACCAGGGGTCAGGGAACTTTTTTTACCTTTACCCCCCAAATAAATTATATATGCAGACATTACCCCCTTTATTTGAAAGAAAGGAAACCATACATTATTTGAATTCAAAATTTTATTGTATCTACACAGGCTGCGTACTGAACTAGCAGGATATATCCTCAGTATCAATCGCTGCCAGGCTATGTACTGAACTAGCAGGATGCACCAGATTAAATAAAAATGTGCACTATTTTTGCTGGAACACATTGCACATCAGCCATGGTGTGGTATAGAGAGCAGTAAGGTGTCCGACGTGCCTAGCAAGTTGCATTAAATTTTTGCTAGCTCGCAGAGGATCTAATCATCATCAGTGGCTGCCAGAGTGGTGCTAGCAATGACATGCTTGCTAGAGACAGCCAAGGCAGAGGTGGTGGTTTCCTACCACTTTAATCATTCTGTGTGTGGTGTGCAAAAAGGAACAAACCAGGCTAAAGGTCATGTTACCCACCCTGGTGCCACAGCCCAACACCAAAGGACCAGTGCGCTTTTTTAATCATCATCAATGGAAAACTCAGCAGTGGTCAGAGGATTGGAAAAGATCAGTCTACATCCAAGTCCCAAAGAAGGGCAGTGCCAAAGAATGCTCCAACTACTGTACAATTGCACTCATTTCACACACTAGCAAGGTTATGCTCAAAATCCTACAAGGTAGGCTTCAGCAGTATGTGGACCGAGAA